GACAAGAGTGAATGTTGCAGAAATATAAAAAAGATTTCTTGTGGATTTTTAGGGCAGGAGATTTGCAGAATCTCCCCAAAGAGATTCTGCCCCAGTCTAGGATCATAACATTGAACAGAAGTTAATAGTCCACCACTTTTTCTGGTTAGAAACCCAGACAAAGTCACACAGCTTTGTTTGTGAAAGATGCACTAGAAATACACTTTTCTGAAAATTGAGTGAAAAAGGCGTTGGTTTCTTTATTTAGAAAAAGCTTACATCCAGGAATTTTTTAGGAAAATGTATATAACAAAAAATAACGGTGGGGAAAACAGCGTTTTGAAAAAAGGGTTTCTTGGGGGATTTATGTTAAAAACTGTGCTCATTAGGAGAAACTGCATACAAAAGCTATTTTTTACAAAATTAGTGAAGAGTTGCAAATTAACATTGTTGCCTGTTTTCCTACACTTTTAAAAATCTATTGAATTTAACCCAACAGATACCAACCCAAACAGTTAAACGGTTCGGTTTAGACTGAAACAGGTATCCCTAATCTTATTAATTCAAATAATGAATTAACATATTGTATATTAATGCATAAGAGAAGTATATAATTATAATTGTATTGATAACATTAATTCTAATCTTATTAATCTCTGATCCCTAAGCATCCTTCAGAATTTGATTCATTTCATACTTGCTGGATTTTTTTTTTTAGCACAGCAATTCTTGTATGAAGAGAGAAGAAACAGAAAATGGTGTGAAGTTGCATGATACAAGAGTAGAGGAGGAGATCAAAGTCAAATAGCCAGGGGTCTCTGTGGGGGAAGGGTGTGTCAAAATTCACCAATGTGCAGGGTAGACAAGGTGTCCCAATAGAAGCCCCTCCCCTTTTGTGCATGTGCATGATTGACGTGTACAAGGGGGTGGGGCTTTGAGCTTGACACTGTGCCTGCCATCTTGCAGATTTTGACCCGCCCCTGCAAGCAGTGTGTTGCCAGACAGGCCCCCAATAGCCACACTTTGGGGGACGAGACAACACACCTGTGCATCCTCTCTTCTTCTGCCTCTGATCCTGCGCATCCCCACAGCTCCACCAGTAAATTAGGCATACAGGTAGTCCTCACTTAGTGACCACAATTGGGACCAGAATTTAAGTCCCTAAGTGATGCAATCGTTAAGCGAATCATCACGTGACCAGACCTGATTTTATGACCTATTTTTTGCAGTGGTCGTTAAGTGACTCTCTGTGGTTATTAAGCGAATCATACAGTTGTTAAGTGAATTACGTGGTTCCCCACTGATTTTGCTTACTGGAAGCTGGCAGGGAAAGTTGCAAATGGTGAACATGTGACCCCAGGATGCTGCAACTGTCGTAAGTGTGAGCTAGTTGCCAAGCACCCGGATCACAATCACATGACTGCGGGGGCACTGTGACAGTCATAACTGGCACTGGTTGTAAGTCACTTTTTTTAGCACTGTTGTAACTTCAAATGGTTGCTAAACAAATGGTCGTTAAGCAAGGACTACCTATATTCATAGGTGGAATACATCTCTTTGCTTCTCAAGAGATGAAGATCCTGGAGAGAACCAGCACATGGTCACATGGTTTCTGAGCACCGAGGGGGCCCAGACCACAGACTTCAAATGAGGCCCTCAAGGCCTAAGGTAAACTCAGCTCCATTTTAACTGCCCCATCTTGAATGAAATAGTACACCTCAACTACAATCAAAACCAGGGCCGGCCCTACTGTTAGGCAAAACGAGGCCAAGCCAGACAACAGAGAGAGAAGGGATGCTGGCTAATTTGGAGAATAAAGCAGTGCCCTCCTCTAAATGGGCCCACTGAACTAACTCCAGCCCAATCCAGGAGCCTGTCCTGATTCAGTCTTAAATCCTGATGACTTCTCCTTTGCTTCAGGCAGCCAAGTATCTTGGGCCAACCCTGCCCTGCCCAAAAACACTTAGACCATTGTTTCTCAACCTTGGCCACTTTAAGAGGGGTGGACTTCAACTCCCAGAATTCCCCAGCCAGCAT